AACATCAGAAGCTTTTGTTTTGCACATGCCTTAATTTTTTTAACGCTTGAAATAGGTCAAGGTTGAACGGGCTAATTATAGATTTAGAGAAAACAGAATATCATCACTCTGTTGGTATAAGTGGAGTTTCTATAAGAATGTATAGATATGTAAAATAGTACAACATACTCCTAAAGTATTTTGTTCACTTAACCTTAATAATTATTAATAACGTGATTTTCATTGCTTACTCTAACTGTTAGAAAGAAACAAATCATTCAAATTAATTATTAATCAATGAATTTGTATAGATATCAATGATTAAAATCATTAACAATATAATATTTACTTGAATCACTGAAACTATTATTTAAGACTAAACTGGTTGGTATCTAAGCAAACTAAAGATAATTCACTTGGTATTGTTTTACTTGAATCTTCCCATTGATGTTTTAGGACTGAAATTGATTAGTCTCTGATCGGTACTGAGTTCGAGTCCCAGAGTGAACATCAACTCTGAGATGCATGTACATTCAGCTGACGAGTCCCAAACAGGACGAAACGCGCGTCATGGATTCCACTGCTAGCCACTATCCATCTTTGCTTATAAAATAAAGATAGTTCAGTGAAGGAAAAAAAGCTTTCCCAATTACGTTATATACTAAAGCTGTACAATCATATTTATGGTCATTAACAAAGTTATCTAAAGTTTTTATTATTGAATGTAAGTTACAGTGTATACTTAAAGGTAATTAGAAGTATTATGGTGAAAATGATTGATACGACATGAAGAATACACAAATAAATACCAATATCAACTTTAAAAATCAGGAGTACTAAAATCATAGTAAAATAAGGAATTGGATATATCTCTTTTGAAAACACAGAAAAGGCTTGAATGGATTAGTTATTGAAGCCTCAGTCATAAAACATTTTCAACATTAACTCACTTTAACCCGGATATTTTGACGTAATAGATTATCGTAAATGATAGTTCTGGTGGAAGCATGTGGCCAAAATTAACAAGAAATTCGAGAATAAACTCAGTAACTAAACTGTACATCCTGTTTTAATAACCATGAAAGGTTGTACTCGCATACGCGTATATAAGGTACACGCTTTGTACTCTGTAAGAGCAAACAAAATTATAGACGCGGTTTAACGTGGACCAGAACAAAAGTTTATTCGTAGAACATTTGTAGAACTATGGTCTACTATGATATTAGTACTTCTCTAATAATAGACCTAATCCTAAAATTGTAGATTTGTCATGATATAACTACCTAATCTATAAGATCTTACGTGGAAGTCACACCATCGACTACACCAACTCCCTGTATCGTATCAGTTACCAATACATGATGAAGAACAAGGTCAGGCTAGAGATGGAACAATATATTTAATATAAATAGAAGATATAAGTTAGCATTCAGAGGGACCACGCCTGCATGGCCGAGCCATGCCATACGATCAACTCCAACTAATTTAATTGATTATTCGCGCCTTCTCCATCGCTAGGTATTTCTTCGCGTTAAATATTGATTACTTATTTTCCGAGTAACCTTGTATTCAGCTTTGAGGATTATGTGGTTATGGTCCAATGCCAATACACATTCTTGAGTTAGTTGCATACGTGAGAAGACAGTTAAGTGTTACAGTGAATCTTCCCGTAGGTCTTCATGGATAGATTTTCGGGATCTTTGCTGACATATCCCTCATGAATTTGATGCTTGTAAACAAAATCTTCTTAGGTACCGATTGGATACTTTCCTTTTAATTTCAGGTTGTCATTTATTTATCCTTGAGTAAATCACTCGGTATACTTTATTTGTTTAACTCATCTATGTATCTACTGGAGTCATCGTCAAACCTGAATTGAGTGTCGAAAGTTCACCGTATGATTGTTTAAAATACCGATTTTGCTAACTGTAATGTAATTAAATATGAAGTGCTTTACACATATGAGAGGAAGAAAGAAACAATATGCAACAGAACCGTCCACTTTTCAGATACACTTGAGTGTATTGAATCCAAAAACTCAAAATGCTGAGTACATTTGTTTCGATTCTGAATAAATTTTGTAAAGTTTTAATTCAGTGCAACTCATTCATCTATTGCAGGTCTCTATACTATACTCTGAAGGCTAATATTGATACCTGAGTCTCCAAACAGAAACAGGTGAAGGAGGATTCAGACTTACGACGTGAATTAGAAGCTAATGTTGTAATTACTAGTCCATTGCCGCACGTGTAACTTTAAGAAACAATCTTTGTTGCTGTATTAAAAGTTTGGTCATTGGAAGCAGTGATCGCTAGAATCCAAACTCTCTAGAAAACTTTGTTTTTGATTATAGGAGAATTTTAATGGTAGTTTTAACATACTGTTTTGATAGTTCGATATAAATTTTTATGTCGATGTTAAAGTATACCTGCCAAATAAGAATTTTGCGGAATGAATAACACGTTAATCATTTCTTAACGATAAATTAACCGGAAAACTTGTTTAACATCCGACTTCGAATTAGAAACTAGGCATTTTAAAACCAGCCCCATCAAAGTAGATGTTGAGAAAGCAATTTTCAAATTTTATACTTAACCAGCAACCTTTTGAGTCATTATGAGTATGTGGTGGTTAGAACGTTCCATATTTTAACAACTTATCGTATAGCTTAATTGACATCAAGTTTTTACAAATATTTATCTCCATTAATGCTCTAGTTGCTAATACAATCAACTAAACTACCCTTCTATGATTTCTGGTAAGGCACCTTGATTTCAACCAAATTGATAATGGAAACAAATACTTTCTGGTAGCTGTAAATGGTAGTCACCTTATAGCACGAATTCAGTGAACCTTTAAACGTCAGTCACTCGGTTTCAACACAGAAGCTCAGCAAGAGTTTGTTTACAGAAGCCTCGTTAATTTAAAGCGGTTAAAGCGCCGGATATTCGCTTTTCGTCCTCTCATTTTCGTAAACAACACCCTCGCCACGAGAAGGCAGTGAGTAGGACTTCCCTGGCAGAGGCTGTATACGCGTGGCCGTGTGAGAGTATTTCGAGAGGGAGGGTGAACCCATCCCACTCTCGACCATACCAGGGCATAAATAACAGTCAATTAACCATACTGTTTTATATTAACAAATGTCTTTATTTATTGAGATTTAGAAAGTGGTGTGAACCATTTGTGTATTTTATCTACGTAATCATATGGATTATGAGTCTGAATCATAAACATATATATAGTCATTCATCTGTCCTTTTGGTGTTTTGAGCTTTGAAAACGTGGATTTAACTGTCAAGCAGTTTAATTGTAGACTACTTTCGAACATGGTGCTTAACAGAATGGTCATCTATCGTTAAAAGCTAAATCTGAACGACTTTTATAATCCAGGTTGCATACATAAAATTATCTGAATAAATACACTTTGAATACACAGATATATAAAACATGCAATGAAAAAATGTTATCAAATTAAACATGTCTATTTTAATGTAAAACACGTTATTAAAAAACCAATTAATATCTTATTTTCTATCTGTGAATTACTCTAATTAAGTATAATTATTGATTAATATTCTTGTTTTTTGTAAGAGAAAAAGAATAAGGACATTGTTGTCATGTCTTGTTTTCTAATGTGCTCTCACTAGACAAAAGACACTTGAACAATAGTTTACAACAGGAATAAATCAATATATTAATAAAAGCCTATGTTATTTATACAATTCTATAAATAGTGTTATTATTACATCTTAATTATTAATCTGTTGTTCAGCATTACACAGAAACTTGAGAATGTGTGAACTTGAATTCATACCTGTGATTCCAATGAACTAGATGTTTAGCGATTTCGAAGCAATATGATTGATACGTATTCTAGGATTAATACTTATGAGCATTCCCAGAGGACTATAAAACAGCGTTAAACAATTGTGGTTATCAAACTGAGATAAGCCATGTTGAATGGTGCAGACTTACTATTTGGTTCGACCTCACTAATCCTTTATCGATGGTACTACTGATGTTTCAACCTACTTTACGATTGGAATTAAATCCTCTCACCTTGCACTTTAATAATTCCTTCAAATGCAATGGCAGTGTGGGTCATAGCAAGTTGGACCAATACACACTTGTTACTGGTCTTACACTGCGACTCATTCGGCTCGCTGATAAGACCGTTCCTAAAGACATCACGAGCTGGTGACCTATATAAGTTTCGAGAAATGTATCAAGCTGGCCAATGGCTTTTATGAACCAAGAACCATCTTATTTGTGTACTTTATTTTAATCAGCTGAGGGTCAAATTATCCCAGTGCTGGTTAGCTCAGTGAGGAAAGGTACAGCACAATAAAGGCTTCTCACACTGGTCCTTAAATCTCAGGCTTTCAGAACAATTACTGAGGGAAGATATTGTAATCGGGTTTGTGACTAATATGGAGAAAAGTTTATTTGTATATTAGGCTATTATCCGTATTTACTGAACTGCTTATAATGTAACCAGAAAGGTTAGTTAAAGGGGGTTTGAGCCCCGCTCAGCCTTCAATTTTGACGAGCCATCACACAAGAGCTGTGCCCTAGAGTCCACTACTTAGACCTGAATTCAATGAGTTACATTACGAAAGTCAAAGTTAATTAGATCCTACTCCAAAAATTAACGTTCTCTGATATTTTGGTTTGTACTGTAGTATCCTAGAAAAGTAGGTATAGAACACCAACTAAATCTATATACGGTGATAAAAGGTGAAACCTTAGAAGTCACGCTTACCAAGCATTATGTATATCTTGAACACCCACATTTCGAGTTCAGAGATCTGTACCAAGTACAGATTTGTATATTTAGCTTTGAGGGTTAGTGATAATATCTGAATGCTCAAACAGAAGTGGGTGAGACGGTTTCACATATGAAACAACTGTTCTTCATAAATTTTAAGGGAGCTATCTAGCCTCCTAAATCAACAGTTATTTCGAAGTTGATCGTTTTACTTAATATAACTGAAATAATATAAACTACTGTAACGTATATTTTCTTAATGCAAAAAAACCTCACTTTTTAAGTAGAACTTCAGTTAAATACGCTTTCTTGATAAATTTCAAATGGATTAAGAAGAGAGAAAATGGCAAATAACTGTTTGCTACCATGCTTACAATACAGATATTTAACGCTGATCATGAAAGAGTATATTTTCAATTTGTTTAGTTATATAAACATTGCATATTATAAAACCCAGTATAATTAAGACATGCAATTCTTCAAAAAAATACAATTTAACATTCATTTCAACAAACATAATTGATGAATTTTTGAAGTGTCTATACAAAAGGGGGTTAAAGGAAATTCGACAACTGACAATACACTGGTTTATTATGAAGATATCTGATCATATTGAAGAATTTTTAGGAAAATGACCCAGCTTTTGTTTACATTTATTTCCTATTTATTTAAACCGGCAAAAGTATGTGTTGTCTCAAATAATGAAAGAGGAAAATATTGTAAAATTTAATCCACAAATCAATGGAAATCGACTCATTCCATCTAAGGAGAACCGCGGCGTTTTTGTGAGCTTCGAAGTAAAGATTCCAAAGCCCGTCGACGTAAAACCTCTTCAACTGATTCATGGGGGTCAATCCTCTACATAAAAAAAATAAATAATTAACTTTCACAAAATAGAATATAGAAGATGGTTACTACAAAGCAAGTGTCATCCTTATTCATGTTTCAGATAATCCCCAAACTAGTAAATGGATCATGAATTGATGCTTATACAGATAAATCTATCTTTCCTAAGTATCAGAAAGTAGACAGCTGACAAGTTTCCCTATGTTTACCTCGAAGATAAGAATATGAAGAATGCTTAAGTTGGTTGTATTTTTATCAGTGCTTAAAGTAGTCTAAAATACGAATTTTAGCATAAGTTAGGGGCTTAAAGAGTTACGGAGAGCCTTGAAAACTTCCTTAAAACAAATCAGTGCCAGACCACTCGGTTCCTCGTTAAAAGGTGTGCTAATGTGTATGAAAGCCCTTTATACAGGCAATATTGATCGAGTCAACGCTCAGGTCCAACTATTGTTGGAATCGTCAACTTTAGGTGATCTTCGTTACGGGAGTCCATTATCTCTGTCTTTGTCATAGATATCATCTTAAGAATCACACTCATCTCATTTACCTACCTGGAGTACGTAGAAGACATACCCCTGTTTAGTAAAGACACTAAGACTAGTCTTTTAAATGGCTTTGAAAACGATTTAAGCTCGTTCGAGATACATTCCTCCCCTCCTTAATTCAAAACGTTGCTCTATGACTGGTTTGCGTCAACCTGAACTAATGATAAAGAGTAAAGTAGTTGGGTGCGCCAACCAATCCACATATCTTGGTTTCATTGACTCTGATGGTTTTGTTCATGATGAAATCTCTACATGGATTCAGAAAACTCGTGTGGCTTTTGCTATTTGAGGTTACTTGCGGTGTGAGGATGTCTGCTCTGTATTGCCGTGGAACATGGTTCGTGAAAACGGGAGACGTACATTAACCACAAGACGTCTTTCAAGCAATGATTGCATACAGTAGAACCGAGTGACTAATGCTGAGGTTAGGAGTATTTTATTGGCCTAGTCGATAGATGAAGCAGTGAATCCTCAGACAGATCTAGCTGACACGAGCAATTGCATGCATTCCTTTCCCTCAAATGCTTGATTACGAGTTTCAATATTATGGAAAATTTTACTCCGTGAACCAATTCTTTCTTCGTGAGTCATTTTCTTTGCTTAGTCTTCTAAAATCACTGATATTATTATTACGTTCAGCTGTCCATATTTTTATTTTTACCTAATTATCCTAATTTGATGTGGGCACTTATGTTGACGCAAACTTCTTGAAAGTACTACGCTATGACTGAGTGGACAAAGAATGTCAACGACGTTCCAAATCTATACAACTTGTCCGACTGGTAAAGTGTAAGAAAGCAGAAGGCACGAAATTCGATGAATATTAAAGCCTCCTGGCAGCTGACATAAAATAAATTCATTTTATTCTGTGATTGTTATTCTTACTTTGACTAACTTTTGCAATGACGCTGGGGCAAAAGGCCTAAACTAAATATACGTCACAGACACCAATTGCATATACGTACTAGATCAATTTGTCCTGAAAGGATAGTCAGTAGGGCTATAATTCAAGCAATGGATTACAAGAACGTCTGCATTAAATAACTAGGATAAACAATTAACCTATGATTTAATAACAGCTAGATGACTCTATAGTTTTAAAATAAGTCTTAGAATTATGTCAACATGAACAAGTAGAGATCCGAATTTCCATAGATATTTAAGGTGCCCAAGATTACTGTAAGAACAGGTCAAGCTTCCATAGATGTCACAAGTTCTGATTATGAATACTAGGACTTAGAGAAAACGTAAAGCATAACAACCACGTACAATTCTTTCATGTGATCCCACCCACTCATGAGAGTATTCAACAGCGACTTAATGCTTAATTGTTTCTTCACAATGCCAGACACGAAAAGAGCGGGATTCAGATCACTATCGGAGATAAACTGATACAATAATAAAACCCTCGATGAACCAGTAAAGGATCAATATGAAAGCGTTTTTATTCAATTTTTAACCAAACTACATTAATGATAGTAGAGTTTTCGCACTACACAACGTGCATGTGCTACAAAAGTGTAGATGTTATCAACATTCTGAAACGGAAGATATTGAAAATACACATCAGCCTTCAAGTAAACCCGTTATGGAACAAAATTTTGAAAAATAAGGAATAATAATAATGATAACAGAAAATGCAACAACTATGCAGGATGAGCATATACCTTATGTGAATTAGAGCTAGAGGTAGGAGGTAAAGCAGGACCTTCAGGAGACATATGATTTCCAAGACTTTTAGGGTGTTTACCGTTTCTTTCAGATTTATGAGGTTTCGTGTTGGCTTCATTATCACTTTCACTGCTACTGCTACTACCGGTACCACTACTACTACTGCTGCCACTGTCACTATCACTTGAACTTGATCCCGATTCCTCACTATGTTCGTCACCAGTAGAAGATCCTGAAGTTGTCGAACTTGGGGATGTAGATCCAGAATGAGCTGGGTTTTCCGACCACTCTACAGCGAGTTCAACATCCGGAGGAAGAGCAGGACCTTCAGGTTGAGATACCTCCAGCTCTGGAGGGAGAGCAGGACCTTCATGGATGGGTTCTTTCTTTGGGATTTCAATTTTCGGCTTTTTAGATTCTTCTCCATTTCCTTCGCTTTCGCTTTCATTGCTACTGGAGCTTCCACTACTACTACTACTATTACTACTACTACTACTAGAGCTGCTGCTGCTGGTTGATGAGCTGCTTGACGAAGCAGATGCCTCACGTTTTGTACGCTTACTGGGGACTCCTGGAAGCAAACAACAAAGTTGGGGAAGTTAGATTGCAACTTTAATTGAAAATCAAACAACTTTAAGATTATTAAACTATGACACCATATCGATCCGTAAGTCCTGTTACTTGAATCATTTCAAACTCTAAAGATAGTCATTAGTAGGCATTCGATTAATGTTTAACTAAGAATTACGTGGAGAATTGTACTTCCGAAGTAATTTTTCGTCACAAACTGACATTAAATGTAGAACAAATGCATCTTCAATGTAGTGAAATCCATATCTGATATATTGGTAGTGTGTTTATCTGATATACGGTTAGTTTTCGCATTCGGAACGATGGATATACATAATACTATGGATAAAATGAGCTTCCCATCTTTCAAACAGGTGTCACATTCTGATGATGAAAATGCAGAATAGACGATTAACTTATTTGTCTCTACTCCCAGTTATAGGAAATCCAACAAACTCAGGAGGAAATCCTATTATCCTGAAGGTAAATCGTTTGTAACTATTATTATGTAAAATAGTGCACTTTAACGAATACTGATAAACAGATCATTCCCTGGATCGTACAAGACTTTTGAGTTAGTACCATAATTATATAAGTCAGTCAGTTGGCTACAACGTACAACCAGGAGCATATATGCACCAGTTGAAGTGAGGTTAGACTAAGAGTATTAGGGAATGATAATAAATCAGTTGATGGGGTTGTAAATGTTCATCGACTGAGATGGTTGGGCCACGTGCTGCGTATGCCTGAACACCGATTACTACGAACGCGTAGTGCTGACCAGTGTTGGAGATGGTTGAAAGTTAGGGGTGGCCAAACCAAAACGTGGCATCAATCCATAAAGTCGCTAACTTCTAGCCATGTTGGTAGATGCAGATTACTTGGTTGGGGTCCACGTAACCAATGGTTTGAGGCTCTAGGTGACATGGCTCAGAATCAACCACAATGGCGTAGGTGAATACACTCTTTGTCTTCTCTTAAACAGTGAGATTAAAATAGCTTTATACCTTTTTTCCATGAAATAAATCTTTCTCCCTGTATCATATCCTCATACACAATCCTTCTCTTATATATCACTACTATTGAAGCAACTACTTCTGTGAATTTGGTGTTCATCTTGTTGTGCTAATGAGGTATGGCAACTTGGACCGATGCATATATGCGCCTGGTTCTACTTTCTAGTTGACTGACTGATATTAGTCACAATGATCCCCCTACAGTTATCACAGGATGATTTAGACCCCTTCTTATATATTGGGACAACCAGTGATTGCGACCAGTCAGATGGGATTACATTTAGTTACCAGATTTTAGCTAAAATATTAGTCAACCTAGTCGTTAAAACTGGACCACCATACTTGAAGACCTCTGGAGCCAACCCATCACAACTTGCAGGCACTCTGTAATATTAACGGTCATATTACTATATGTCACGGTAAATGTGCCCTTGGAACGCTGAAATCACCTTACGAAGTTAACTGAATTATCTACAGCAGGTTTTTATGATTAGTAAACTTCACTACAAACTTTATATGCAACTGAGACAAAACTTAGAAAATATTGATAACGAATGAGCAAAATGTATTATATTCACCATAACATTGACAAAAAGCACTAGCTGACCTTCGATTATCCTAGAATCTGAAGGTCTTTTGGAAATATTTGGGGGCAATGACGGCCCTTCAGGACTCGGTAAACGGTGATACTGGCGTCTTTCAAAGGACAAATTTTCGTGTCCAGATGAGGTTTCTCTTCTTTTTATGTGACCAGGATGGTGACTATGTCGGTGATCATGATCTCTGAGATGCCAATCAGATTCTCTATCACGCGCGCGGCTTGGTTCTGGGCTTGCGTTGCGACCGTGTGATTCAGCATCATGTCTGTATCTACTAGACGAACGATAATCATAATGAGAAGGTAGGTCAGGACCTTCATATTTTCTGTAGTTTTCAGCAAAACCATCTTTTCTTGATTGTTCTAAATAACCTGATCTTTGATCTCTCTCGTTAACTTCGACCATGTTACGGTGTCGGGATCCAGAATTATGAGTATGCTTGCGAGGTCGATAATAGTCTGCGTTGTGAGACGGAGACCTTTTGTGAGATTTGTGTGAATGACTGTTACCATGTCTTTGTTTATCATGCTTTTTGGAATGCTTATGGCCTTTTGAACGTTTTTCGTTTCCATAATAACTACTTTCAGGCATTTCCGGTGGACTGCGACGTCTACCGGCCATCAAGTCTTTTCTCCAATCAGTGACAGGTGATTTCCTATTTAAAAGAAAAAAGTATTATCAGTGATGTACCAGATAAATTTCTAGGTGGGAATGCAAAACTTGCTGGACGTGTTAACAAGACTAAACAGATATAATAAATTTTGACATAATTTTAACATAAAGTGAATTTAAGAAATATACTCATTAAATTTGCATTTAGTATCACTTACGGCTTTTGCACCAGCTTGGAGCGAGATTTGGAACGCTGACGACGATGACGAGTGCGTGAATGTGATCTACGGTGTCTTGTGTCGACCGGACATCTCTCAGGAGAGTGATGATGACGACGGCGACGGTGTTGTTCAGGGGAACGCGACGAACTCGTTTCATCTCGATGAGCAGTTCGACTAGTTGCTTCATCCTAAAATTCCAGTCATCAAAAGACATTAAGCTTGTTTGTAGATGAAACTATTAATCATTAAAAGTTGCATCATAACGTGAAGTGCCGGCAAACGTTATCAGACTTAATAATAGTGTGTTGGAACAATTGCAAGCAACTATAAGTCGACATAACATAAAGTGGTATGACGTGAAAGGTTGCAATACCACCCGAATATGAAAATAATGGTACATACAGATCTAGTTAAGATTTTTTTGAAACAAATAGAAAAGCTATAATTTAAAAATAAAATACTTACGAGTTTTTCACGACTTTCTGTAGTAGTTGTAGGTGGTTGAGGAGCTGGTGATGCTGTTCGTGAAGTAGAACGGTTGCGATTGGTAAAAGCTGGCAAAACAAATACGATGATTCTGATGAGCATACTTTAATCTTTATAGCATCAACTAAGCATGGTGGGAAAATAATTGAAAGTCACATGTGTTTTCAGGGTGAAAAGAGCATTATCCGTAGCTAGACAGCTAAATCCGACTTACAGCCTCTACGTGGTGGTCAGGTAGTGAGGGAAACTTTGCTAGCTAGTTTGGGCGACCGATGAGATTGGACCAATCCACTACTCTTTTGTAAACCGAATAAACTGAATTTCACTTTTTGGGACTAAATTCTCGCATGCTGCTCGATGTGTATGCTTATGTACAAAAACTGCATATATATATATATATAAGGTACGGGAGAACATAAGCTGAAAAAATGTCTGCCATATGTTTAATAAAATCACTGGCATAATCCTCCGAATTGAAAACATGATAAAAATATGGCAGGAAATACTGAGCGATGACCATCAACCTTTACTGAAGGAGGGCATATATCTATTTATGTTATGAAGTGCGAGGGCCAAAACCTTTGTACTAGTGATATGCATGTAATGCGTGACAGCCAGCTGTATATATATGACTGTACAGCTTGAAAATAAATTCGTCGTAAATGGATCTTTTTGCTAAACTTCGTGTTTTAATGTTTAAATGGGGATTATGTCATTTGGAGATGGAGATGTTTGATTTATAAGACTGGTGAGTTTTTTTTGTCATCTAGATGTCGTGCTGGCAATCTTAGGTCGAAAATACTAAGAATATAATTAGTTGTTTCTGAAATTGTTACAATGTAACAAGATATGCTACCGGTCAGTGTGTGGTGTCAAGTTTTAAATGAACTTAAATTTCTAGCTGTTTCACTAATTTAAGATCATTAACTCCAAAGCACGACAAATAGGTTTATAAACCATCAATAAAGTTTGGTAGACCAGCTCATTTGACGAAGTCGGATAGATTCTCTGATATAAACCAATCGGCTCTGAGATAAATCCGTAAACTGATAACCAGATAAAATCGTATAAAATATTGAGATAGATATCGTAATATCTGGATTATTGAAAAAACGTAAAGAAAGACCTAACTATTGGAAAGAACAATTTAACTGTTATGATTACATTACGCAGTTGTTAAGATCCAAATGATTAACATATGGAGAGAAATCATGACAATTTTGATCATTTTCATTAACATTTTTCACACCTATGCTTCCTTACCAAACCTCCGAATAAATATATATTCGTATACAAAGTCAGCACCTTAACTAACGATATGAAGTGAGGTAATTGAGTGCACCAACCAATTCATTGGTCAAAGATGTTGCTTGATGTGACTCAATCAGTTACAATGTAGAAGCATTTATTCTTTATTTTACCCTACGAATTAAGTTCCAGTTAGATTTAGCTCCTCAAGCAGCGTAGATGCCCCAAGGTCATAGAAATTGTAACCTGTTGTTTGCAAACTGGAAGCTTTAAATATGAGATGATGTGATTGACAGTCGATAATGTAAATCTTTAGATTATAACATTTTTCTGTCTCGTCACATATGGATACTAAAAGTTTCAGATGGACAACTACCACAAAAGTGCATACTTTCCGGCTCTTCAGATTCTGCTACTCCATTGCTTTTGACAGACGAAACGCGCTTCTGATTATCTATTTGTTCGGAACTCATGTTAGACGTTCGATTAGTTCCTTTCTGAATTAGCTCATTTTCCCTCTTTCTCATTTCGAGAACAAACTTTTCGTCCTCCTGAAAAAAGGACGAAATAGCATTTATCAATTACTAATGAAACGATAAGATCAAATATTGACATCTATTTTTTCTGACGTTAACATAAACCAGATAACTCATAGTGTAATTTGTGAACTTTTAGGTTCAAAACCGATTGCATCGGTTTTGTAATTAATAGATAGTAGATATGTTCATAAGTAAATACGATAAGGCAGATAGCGGCTTTTGATAATTCTCCAAAATGCCAAAGTTTTATTTACATCAAAGCTAGTGCTGTCAAAAAAGACATGCACGATCCACTAGTTAGAAATCATAACAGGAAATATCGATTGCTGTTTTTGATTTGAGAGGTGGAATGTTTCCAAAAAATACGATTATCTTACGGTAACTAAGATGACAGGTTTTTAAGATATCAGTTTTATTCTTGAAGCCTGAGCAACTCATTTACCGGGCACAAATTTGTGTACATGGCTATGGGCCACAGAGTTTAAGCGGGGTTAAGACCTGCTAATTAGTTGCCAAAAGTCGAACACCTTCATCACTGAGACATACCTTGAATTTGATAGAATCCAGAATAGTAAACTCCCAAATAAATCATTGTGATAGGAGTGATGGCAGGACAATACCAGGATAGTGTCAACTGTGCACTGTAATTAGTTAGGAAATTAATTTTACTAAATGAACAGATAGAATTCAAACGGTTATTATCGACACACACAACCTAGATTAATATGCAATTAGAGCCTTAATAGTCTTTAGTAATAAGGATAGTTGGTGAGCCTGGGTTAATCCTGATGGGCGCCGTTTTCACCGAGTTAGTTCCACACTTTCGACCAATAATGGCAATACCTAAGTAAAATGACCGAATTTATGTTTAGAGTAAATTTTGATGGTCAATGAAATATTAGTTTAGCACATAATCAAGTACAGACTTTGTCAAGTTTTTAACCGAAAGATTACCTGACGCTTTGCGATCTCTTCTTTCTTGGCCTCCAGAAAAGCTGCAGGAACGCCATCTGGTGTCTGCATGGCAGATAACAATAAATCCCATAGTTCGGACAAAAACACCCTCGCATTTTTGCTGTTTAAAAATCCCGTTATATTAATCTGGATTTCCTTTGGGTCTGGATGCTAGAAGGAACAGAAAATAAGACATAAGTTGGGGAAGCGAATACCCAATTAACTGACAATGAGAATTAATTATTAAATTAATAGATTTTCAGACAAGCTCAAATGTGTACCGGCAGCGCACTCAGTGCGTCGCAGGAGACCTGAGTTCCACCATTGTTTGTCGATGTGCATCCCAAAAGACCTGAAAATTTAATCGAAACCAACTTTAAAATTGGAAAAAATGATCATTATTATAAGTTAATTTAAAAATGGAATAATACAGTATTAACTGGTTTATATATCGTAAGTCAATAAACCCCAACTACGTTAAAATCTGTTCATAGCACTATTTTTCAGCTCACATGCTAAAATACTTGTGGTGGGTGACTAAAATATGTAAAAACCTAATTTCAGATGTTAGGAAAAGTGAAGTTACTACAAAATGCTAAGCGCCAGTAACAAGAATAGCTGCTTTCAAATCAGATTTTCTGCGAAGGTATAAGCATCTAAACGACTGAACAGCCACGAATTTAATTTTGGGTGTGTAGAATAGAAGCATCAATTGGAAACGATGGACATAAAATTCCATGGCGAAGGCGAAATATCCGTTCATCAATTAAGGGACAAGTATACTGCGCGGCAGTTCGTTCTGTTCTACTTTACGGCTGCGAAACATAGCCACTAAGTTGAAGATACTCGTAAGCTACCAGTATTTGACCACAGATGTCTTAGAAATATTGCTGGCATCTGCTAGGATCATCTGGTAAGTAATAGTGAGGTTAGAAGCAGGGTATTAGGAAATTATGGTAAATCAGTTGATGAAGTTGTGAATCTTCATCGACTGAGATGGTTGGGCCATGTGTTATGCATGCCTGAACACCGATTACTATGACGCGCATTTCTGACTAGTGTTAGAGATGGTTGAATGAAAGTTGGGGGCGGCCAAACCAAAGCATGGCACGATTGCTTAAAGTCACTAACTTTTGGTCTGAGCCATGTTGGGAGATGCAGATCACTTGGTTGGGGTCTGCGTAACTGTCGTAACCAATGGTTAGAAACTCTTGGTGACATGGCTCAGAATCGATCAAAACGGCTTAGGTGTATACACTCTGTCTTCCCTTAAACAATGAGATTAAAATCGCTTCATAACTTTCTACGAACTAATTCTTTCTTCCTGTACTGTATCCTTATATGCAACCTTTCTTTTATATATCACCACTATTGACTTAACTACTCTTATGAATCCGGTGTTCATCCTGCTGTGCTAATGCGGTATGGCAACTTGGACTGATGCATATATATGCCTGGTCCTACGTTGTAGCTGACTGACTGATGGCATACATTGGTATAAATGTAATACTCAGCATCGTAAACCCCGAACAAGCTGTATCCACATAAGAAATCAAAATAGCGAAAACTGATTGAGAAATAACACGATAACGTACAAACAATGTACAAAGAATGCAAAGTTCTTGATCCTTTTTACTTAATGCAAATTTCTCTTAGTTTCGACGTACAGCAAATCACCAATAAGTCAGCTTCTACGCATGCGTACTTTTGTTACTCAAAAAAATGTCAGTATTAAAAGCTTACTGATCTGCTTATGCCTTAAGAATATAATGAGGCATGACAAATAATAGCTCAGTTCAATGTTTCCAGTTTATCTGCCCTCGTTCACAATGCACATACAAGAAGCACTAATCGTATCAGTGCGCTGATTTGGTATGGTAAACTAGGTCGATATACATCTGTTCCGTTCTTACGTTTCTGGAGGAGCCATACACATCATGACTATTAGTGCATGTTTGACCTTCAATAGGTAACAAAGCTAACCGAGTAAATTTGAAAACTAATTTCATAAATAGACGTATCCCAGAATTACGACGTGTCTAGCGAACAGTAAAATACCTCACCACGTTTTTGCAACTTGTTTGTAGGTGGCTTTTACACACGAAATTCGAAATGAGCAACACTGGTGAAAGTACGCTCCCGGTAAGCATATGTTTAATGAGTTAAAATAGCCTATACATTCGGCTTTTGGACAAAAAGCCTGGACTGAAAGTAGTTGTCAAAGGGAAACTCAGGACTTTCATTTAAGAACTGCGCAGATGATAGGTTGATTACGACGAACACTACATTGATTATTTAAGTAACTATTTTCAATGACTCAGAGTCATCTGACAAAATCATTCAGCGAGTGGAGGCAGGCCATGATAATATTTAAGCCCTGATCTAGTCTTAACCACAACTAAAGTTGCTTCTATGATGAATTCAGTGTCAACAACGAAAAAAGTAAGCAAACTTACGCGCTCCTCCAGTTGGTTGAAAATGTAGTCACAGACGACCTCATCCTCAAAGTTTAAAAGCTCTGTTATACGTTTAACAATCCATGGTCTTATAGACTCCAAATTAATTTTGGACATGTCAACCTGGAAATAAATGACAAATAGAGCTCATGCCTTTTGAGCCAAGTTTTCTCCGAATTTCATAGTTTTCATTAGCTTTTTCTTTTTATCAGCGAACCTGGCATCTTGCTCAGCACTTGTACCCTAAACACCGATAGAAACAATTAGAAAGCTGGTAAGGAAAACCTTAAAGAAGCCAGCGTCTGTCATAATCCCGGTGTGATTAAAAATAAAGTGTTACGTCCCGCCCGGCGGATTAAACAAAACTCGTTCAGTCGCCAATGTTATACGAGAAGATAGAATTATTTTCACTATATTTTCTTATCACAGTGATGGTTCAACAGGGATTATAAATGTCTTCGAAAATACTTAGCTCCAAAAAACTCTCCACGATGATTTATTCATAGAGCAGTTAGCTACACGAAACAGATTGTCTTCAGCCGTCTGGGTTTTTAGAGAAGAACTCCAAAATTTAGAAAATAAGAGAACACAGCGTTTGTTATAATGTACGCTCTATTTAGAAAGAGTTGAGTTAAATTTACTGTCTTGATTGTAGATTACGCATCAAAACTACTATTTACGCTTAAAGTGAATTTCTTTCAGTCAAGTTGGTTTCCTACTTGTGTGTAATAAATTTTCTTTTGTGTATTTATTGCATCAAAGCACGCTTAGGCGAATTTGAATCGATTCATTTTGATTTAGGTTTGAAATTTATTCTAATCCAATTGTGTTTCCATTTTCGCTTGATTGTTAAGATGATCGGCTCTGCTCACAAACGTGGAGAGCTATATTGCTTATCCCTTCCGAAGTAAGGAATACAATGTGTTGAGTGTAATAAGTGGTTCCATAAGATGTGTACCCTATCAAACTTCACTGCCTATAAAAGGCGCTTAAATCCTGACTGCCATTGGCCTTGCACGTTTTATCGTTCGGGCAAGACATTACTCATCCAATGAACAATTAGCCTTCTAGCGTTGGCTAACGAAAAGGTTAGTGAGGGCTGTACTGGTAACGTGTTTACGGATAGTGAAGAATGAGTCAGTGTCATAAGTGCTGTTACGACATGTGCCAGGCACCCGACTGTGCAACATGCAATAGGGACTTTTATCTCAAAACAATTAATGTGTGAAACACCACTGGATACTGGTGGTCAAGTGCCTACAGAAGCGACTGATGACTCGGACAAAACTGTTGTCGTCCCGACTGGTCCTGATTTGGATGTTGCGACTGATGGAAAATGGATGGTGTGGAAACAAAGAAAGGTGGAAAAGATAGCCAAAATAGCGCCCATTTAGTGTCAAAGTTATTGACGAACTCACATTCTGCATTGCAGATTACTCTGCCCAAGTTCAAAAGTAAGAAAATATTTAACCTTATCGTAGATGAAAAATGTTTGTCCTCATCAAACATCGTTGCGAGTCATCCGCTCAACTCCCACGACTCTGTCACATGAAAAACCAACGGTAAGCTCCTTGCAGTTAACAGACAGGATATGACATCACTATTTTAGGCCGCGAACACGACTTTCAAAAGGGTTAAGTCCGTTCCTACCCTGATTATTTGAAATCTAGAGGAGTTAGAGGACAATAACCCCGTTCAAATGCATGCACGCGATCTGAATTTAGTGAAACCTGCCATCAGAAGTATAGTGCCTGAATAGGTTGCAGGAGTACATATCACGAAAGTAATAGAACTCGGTTGATCTGTCGCAGATGAGACCCGACCAACCGGGAATTTTGAAGAAAGAGACGTAATATTGAACAAGGCATACAACATTCGTAATTCAAATATTCGTGTCCGATCAGATTGGCCGCTTGAGGATCGAATCAAGTGGAAGAATGCCTTTACGGGTCAACAACTGGAAGGTTAAATGGCAAAATGAGCCTTACAGTTAAGGGTTGCCATGTTGTCAGGTCTTGTTAGTCAATGCTTTCGAGCTCTGTATGGGTAGAACGAATGATTCTTAAAACAACTTAAATGTGTGCTATGTGAATGCCCTTAGTCTTCAAATAAAACGTTCGAGCTAAGTTTGATGGTGGATAAATAATGTTCCAACACAATTGTTGTCACGTGCGTGCAAGAGAATAATGCATGAATATTCCTGCATCCACCACCGTTGGCCTTCTCTCTGTGTCAAATGTTTAATATCTATTTTCCCAGTTACCTCATGTTCATTTTTGAAGATTTTGTGGTTAGGACCAATACCACTACAGGGTTACAGTAAGTCACGACTTGAGAACAACTACGTATTGCGACGCAGCAGATGCCAAAGTGTTTCGTGCATCATGGTCATTTAGCTAACCATACAAATGCATTGATCAGTTGTTTTTAATATTATATACCGCCTATGTAAGACCACACTTAGAGTGTTGATTCCAAGCAGATGGCTCATGTGTGATCAAGGACGCTAACTCACCTGAGCATGTTCAGCGTGTGAGAACGAAATTAGTGAAGTCTTCCTGAACTCCCTTACGATGGGCGCTTAAAACTTTTCAAACTTTTCCCCTTGTCGTATCGTAGGAAGCGAGGTGACCATATATTGACATTTCGACTGGCTTCCGAATTTTTCTCAGCACTTCATCATTTTTGAACTGTGGTTTGACTGTGTTTTGTGTCTTTCGATTACAAAGGTGTGAGGTACAAGAGTTATGTTAAACAGTTAGGTCGCAATAAGCGTAATGAATGGTAACTTTTGTATCCATTTATAGACCAATAATATGAGTATATTTTTATCGTATGTTTGTTAAATAACTAAATTGTTCATATTCATGTCCCGCTTATTATGAGCTTTATTTTGACTTATGAACTACTATTATACGATCTACAATTCTTGAATTATGCTCTGTCTATTAATTACTAGTTCCCTCATTCGCAGCCACATTTGGCTGATTCTTGTACAGATGGTCTGTTTGGTTGGTATATAAACCAACTACGCTTGAAATAAATGATTCGTGTTGCAGAGGCTGAGATTGATGTTTTGGACTTAACTGGCTGGGCTAGGCCGAAAGTAGGACCAATCAGGACTCTAGGCTGCTCGTACGGGTTTTACGCGTCATTGGTCAGATCGATGATTCACTGCTCTTTAATTGGCTGTATCGTTACGTTATACATTAACAGACCACACAGGCCACAAGTTATAAAGCAAACACTGAACGTCTGCATCATATTTAGTGGCAGCAAAGTTATGTCAACGTTTTATCATAATCTTTTAGCTGATAATTAGATCACATATGTGTAAACAATTATTTTCATTTTGTCTACATTTTCCTTTGACTTCCTTCCATATACATTTTCTGTCGATTTGTGAGTAAGCCTGACAAGGAGAACTCGTATGTGATTCTCGTTGATCAAGAGATTATGAAACTGTGATGAGAAAAGATCTGAGAAGAATGTTTTCTATAATAATGTCTTATTGTCAACCATTCGGCATAATTCATAATTACTAGTTCCAAGTTTAGTTTTAGTCCCATGGATGGCTAGTGAGAAAACAATAATCTTTTGGTTTTTGAGTGTTATTTGCATGTATCGCTGGTACTTTTTTCTCCTGAGGTATGGTTAAAAACAGTTGTAGCATGTCAAAGTTTCATCGAATTACTCATATTTTAACTTAGCCTCTGAGACATCCCGCTCCTAATATGTATGCACCAGTAATAGTCAACTTATGGGTCTATGTTGCATGGGATCTCCCGTTTGATTTTCACAGATGACTTTCCCATACAGACTTCCAGCTTGTTTAGTCTATTAGAGTAAGTGTTCGTAACCGACTCTGCTTTAAAACTCTGATACTGCAAGCATTAGAATAGCGTCTGGTACGAAATAACCTCGTTCAAAATAATCTGCCTCGTCGCCTGTGGAGTCTATGAGTTATTGGGTTACATGAGTTCTAATTGAGAAGAACTAGATGTTAATAATTTAGTAAGTGGATACGTACCTGTTTACCGGTGAGCTTCCCACAAAAATGCTGTTACTTTTATACGACTGGACTACACCCAGCACTCATCTCTGTTGTACCTGAACCCTCGGAATTGCATATGGAGTCAGCTTTCTCTCCCTAGGTTATCCGAAATTGTAATCATCATATGTAACGATCAATTTGCTTGTTGTGCCCCTTCAAGTGACATGAAAGTGAGTCATCCAGGATAGTATTTTTTTCTGGTTATTTTTATTTAGGTCGGACGTTAGAATTTTGGTCGTTGCACAAACATCTAGATTGAGAAATGAGTACGGTAGAAGCAGACATTTTAGTTAGCAAACCCAAAAAATGACCAAATAATAGCACAGTGCAGTTGAATTGACAAAAGAAATCATTACAGAATCGTTTATGGGAAACGATTTTTGTACAGTCATACAGAACTTACTGAAAGGTCTCACAATATTCTTGCAGTAGCTACCAGCAGTGTACGGTTATTTGCTTTGAATATACCAATTTAAAAATTACGGAATTGTAAATGGTTCCTCAAAAACCTCAGTTAATGAAAGATGAGCTAAAAACCTACGATGTTAATGATGGAGGTAAGTAATGTAACGATTAAAAAGTCTGATAACACAACTTGATGATGCCGACGAATTTTCGCACAATTTCCGAAATCAGTAGGAAGTGCAGCTTGAAGCTATCAAAGCCGCTCACGACGGACTGAACATTGCCCACTGAGTAAGGTTTTTGTATATGCCTCTAATATTCACCCGTTGTAGAGCTGAATATTTTCTCTTAATACCACTAGGGACAAAAATCTTCAAAAACACCCACGTATACAATGTATGTGTTTTGCTATAGGATACCAGTCTAACCAATTCGAAACTTTTATCACCATACACATTGCAAGAAGCAAAAAGGATTTGCGACGTATTGTTGGCTTGACGCAGATAATGTTTCGGCATGATTCGGTGATCCCTACCCGTAGATGTGTCACACAGTAGAAGTATCTTTACATGTTCCCATCTGCTTCAGCCGTAGTTTAAGGGTCGTCGAAGATAACTCATGCTGAATATCAGTATCTTCCTTTTGGGGCTGTGCAAGTTTAGGAAGGCCGAACCCTGGAAGTTGTTCAAGCAAGTCATGAGAGACAAGGTGACTGCAACTACATTGTTTGCCCCAGAAGTATGTTGTATATTTGGCGCAAACTGCGGAATGTGGTCTAGTTGTCGAGACTCTGGAGAAAAGTAATTGTCTGACGACGGGCTTAGAGAGAAGGTGAGATGTGTATGGTCGGTTATTAGAGTAAGTTGTCGGGTGTTCATTGTGCCGTACAGCACAATACATGACTAGGAGCTCGCTGCCGAATGTGCTATACTTCCATTCAGTGTCCTGTGACCGTCTCGATAAGAGTGTTAAAGGTTGACAGCTGTCGTATACCCACTATTGTAAGACTCCTCAAATTGCCGACTGAGGTGCGGTAACTGCGATACTAATAAGTGCACTAATGTACC